TACTACTACTACTACTACTACTACTACTACTACTACTACTATTTATACTACTACTACTACTACTATTTATACTACTACTACTACTACTACTACTCCTACCCCTACTACTACTACAAATACTATAATTAATGCTCGTACGAGTAAGAGTGAAACGACTCATACTAATGATAACACCGCTAATAATATTGTGACGAAACGTACTAGCAATACACTTCATAATGCAATACTAGTACTACTACAATGAAGAATAGCCAGACGAATACGGATATGCTGATACGAATAATATTATTATTACGAACAAGGATATTATTTCGGCGAATCGTAATACTAGCAACCGTAAGACGATTACGACTAATACTGTTAAGAAGCATCGAAATAATAACAAGACGAAGAGGAGGTAATAGGAGGAGGGGGATGAGGAGGAGGAGGAGGAGGAGGAGGAGGAGGAGGAGGAGGAGGAGGAGGAGGGAGCACCTTTCCTCCGCCCCGAGGGCGCCCCCCGCCGCAGGACGGGCCCGAGTCGCGTGAGCCCCCCGCCGGGTGGTGGGGGCGGCTCCTCGGGGGGCGTGGCAGGCAGCCCAGCCCCGGGCCGGGCGCCCGGGCCGCGGCTGTGGCGGAGGCCCGCATCGGGGGACGGCGAGGTGCCCAGACGTGCTCTCAAGTCGGGCCTGCCCCTCTACAGGAGGAGTATTCAAAAATAGTCAAACATAGCTTCAGCTGGGGACGACTTTTTGACCGCATCTTCGAGTATTTTTGGCGTACTTTTTTATTTTTCGTTGAAATTCGCCCTGCAGGGGGACAGGCCCGACCTAACCATGCTCCCAGGCATCGTCGCGTCGTAAAATTTTCAGGGCGGAAGTGGTTCGCCGTTTTCGGCCTCTAGGAGGCCCTCGCCGGGCCCTGGGACCGTCGAAAAACGGCTCAGCCCCGACGCAGCCCTGGTCAGGTGCTGCCTTGGTCTCGTTTCCTTGCCCTCGTCCTCCCCCGCTTTGCTCCTCGGGGACGCTTGCTTCACGCTGACGTGGGGGAAACCACTTCTAGTGGCAGCGCGAGTCCTTCCACTGTGCCGGCTGAGACGTGACAAGACATGCTCTCTTTTGTTTTCGGCGGCCCTTTGGTTTTCGGCGCCCTTTGTGTTCGGCGCCCCTGTGGTTTTCGGCGCCCTTTTTGGTTGTCGGCGCTCTCTCTCGACTTTCGGCGCTCCTTTGGTTTTCGGCGCCCCTTTTCATTTCTGGCGCCCCTTGGGTTTTTGGCGCCCCTTTGCTTTTCGGTGCCCTTTCAGTTTTCGACATGATCGCGTCGTAAAATATTCAGGACAGAAGTTTTTCGCCGTTTTCGGCCTCCATAGGCCCTCGCCAGGCCCCAGGACCGTCAACAAAACGACTCAGGATGAACATTTTTTCCCGGGGAAAGGGTCGGGACTGCCAGGGACGGCGAGGTACCCAGACATTCTCCCAGACGTGATCGCGTCCTGGGATCGGCGCGGGGGTTGCTAAGAGGATAGGGGGGTTCTCAGTGTATGCCACGGGGTTTTATATCTGACCCAATCCAGCCTGTGAGTGGGTTGCAGATGCCCCGCGGGGCTCAGTGGAGTTAACGATCCCGGCTAAATGGGCGGAGCCCATTTAGCGGAGTCCTCTCACCCCCGTAAGCCACTTGGTGCATGTGTAACCTACTTCAAAGCTAGGCTAGGTCAGAGATGACCTATCGTGGCATCCACGGGGAATCCCCGTACCCCCTTAGCAACCCCCGTGCCGATCTCAATCGTGAAATCTTCAGGGCGGAAGGTGTTCGCCGTTTTCGGCCTCTGAGGGCCCTCGCCGGGCCCCGGGACCGTCAAGAAACGACTCAGGATGAAAAACCAGTCCCGGGGAAAGGTTCGGGACTTCTGGGGGCCGCGTATCGAAAAAGTCAGGACGTCGCATATCTGGCCGCGCCGTTTGTTCCGACGCGCGGCCTTACGTCTTGGGGATGGCGCCTCGGCCACCAAGGCAAACTCCGCCTGGGGCGCGGGGGGGTCACTGTGGAGTTTGCCGCGGTGCCGGCTTCGTCTCCATGGGAGCGGGAAGCAGGGCTTGCCGTGGGTTTGACGTGGTGTCCGCGTCGTCCATTTGGGCGCGTCGTCCGCATGTGCTCGCGTCGTTCGAAGAACAAGAAACGGCATGCACTTACACTTTTGGTGGTCCGCGCAGATTTCTTGGCTCCGCGTTGGGCCCCCTGGCGGCGGAGGCGCGCCAGGGAGGGGAGCCTGGCGCAGATCCAAGAAATCCGCACGGACCTCCGAAAGTTTGTGTTTATGTTTTTTTGTCCCTCTAGTTAAAGAGCCCCAGGACCGTCAACAAAATGACTCAGGATGAAAAACAAGAGCGACAGGAGGACGAGGTTGAGGAGGGTGAGGGGGACACCGGCAGAGCTGTGAGGATGGCGGAGAGGGTGGCAATGGTGGAGGGGGTCTATGCTCCAGGTGACGCTGTCTTCTAAGAAGACCAGTGCTGCTTTCGCTAAGTCGTGCTGTTCCCCTGGGGCCGCGGCATGTTCAACGTTTTCTCAGGATGATACACCAGTCCCGGAGAAGGGGTCGGAGTGGGGTTGGGCCACAGGTGATCGACGAAGGAAAACGGGTGTGTCTTCACCAGTATTGGCGCGTAAGTTGCCCGCGTAGGGTCACGCGTAAGCGCCCTCGTCTTCTATTTCAGCGCGCCGCGCTGGCGGCGCGCGTAAGCCACCGTGTAAGGTCGAGATGCCATCGGGTGTAAGACCCATTTTTTGGTCGAGCAGGTAGGGTTGGGCCACAGGCGGGGTTGGAGGGAAAGAACAATCACTCCCGACGGTCCCTGGAGAAGGTCAATCTCAGCCTCGAGCTGGTTTCGCTCTGTGATCCCACCCTGGGCTATAGACCCCCCCCCTGCCCGCCCCCGACCGCAGGGGGTGCCTGGATGGGGGCTGCCTGACCTGCTTCTCCGCCTTCTTGGCCCGAGGCGTGCTCCTCCTCCTCCTACGGACCTCCTGTTCCTGGCGTCCTCCTCCTCCTTAGTGGCGTGGGATCCTCCTCCTCCTCCTCCTCCAGCAGGTACGGTCGCTCCTCCTCCTCCTCCTCCTTCTCCTCCTCCTCCTCCTCCTCCTCCGTAGCCATTTTGGCTCAAGATGCAGGTTTCTCCTGGGAACCAAGCGAATACCGCTAGTCCGCGGCTGGCAAGACTTCTTGAAGTCTGGCATCGACTCTGGGCCACCTTTCCAGCGCTCGCGTCGGTGGGTCAACGGAGGCATTTCCCGTTCCTGTCGGCTCGATCGCTTCCAGCTTCGAAGCCATGCCTGGCGCAGCGAGTCCCGAGAAACACCGCGTCCACTCAGTGGGCTCCCACAGCTGCAGCGGCCGCTCGACGTCCAGGACACGCTCATCCAAGTCCCACTCACGGGCGCCCGAGCCACGCCGCAAGGCGCCACAAACTGATCATGGACGGCTGGTTCGCCCTGGTGCTGCCGCTCCTCCTTCTGGCCACGCTGGTCCTGCTGGCCGTCGGGGAAAGGGCGACAGGAAACCCTCCAACCTCTCCCCCAGCGAGGCGAACTGGCGCCAGAGAGCAGCTGATGCGGCCTTCGAGATGCAGAGAGACGGGATCGACCTCGACATGCTGGCTACGTTCCCCTCGCAGGGCGCGGGGGAGGCGGGAGTCGGGGATGCTGCTGACAAGGACGCTGCCGCCAGTGCCAGGGACGGCTCTCGCCCAGCTGCTGGCGTCGGCGGTGACCCGTGGAGGACCTACCTGGACAACGGCGGGACCCCCTTGGGCCCTGCGTCGCCACTGGGACCAAGCCGTGGCCATCCTCCCGCTCATGCTGCTCCTCTTCGTGACCAGCGGCCTGGCGCGACTCCTGGGGCCTCATCTGTGGCGACGTCGTCTGGGGATACTGGCGGTGCTGCGGATGCTGTCCTGCTCAATCCCGCCCAGGCCGCCCTTCTACAGCAAGTGCAGGCGGCCATCACCTCCGCCGTCACGTCAGCGGTCGTCGCCAGCGTTGACGCCACCCTCTCGGCGGGCCTGGCGCAGATCCAAGGGGTCATGGAGTCTCGTGTCGGAGCCGTGGAAGGACGCCTTCGGGGGGTTGAGCAGAAGCAGTTGGGCATCGAGAGGCAGCTGCGCGCGGACATCGCACAGCTCCGCGAGCAGATGGGCATCATGGCGCGTGCTGAGCCATGTTCTGCCCCCGCTGGCCCTGACTGGGACCGCCCTCCAGACCTCGCGGCGGTGGTCGTGCGGTGCAGGGAGGAGCTCCCCGCTGCGGCCTTCAAGCAGGCCATCGCCCCCCTCCTCGCGGCGGCTGGCATGGGTCCCGGCTCATTCGCGGTCGAGGCGGAGCCCCTCGGCAAGCGCTGCGTCTACCGCTTCAAGGGCCCCCCCAGAGCTCGGGGCTAGACGGGCTGCTAAGGTGCTGGGGTGTATGCGCCTTGGCCGTGGGGAGTGGCGCAAGCCACGTGCCACGACGCCTGCAGGCCACGAGGTTGACATATTCGTGGCGCCCGACCAGGACGGCAAACAGGTGCTGCACGAGCTCACGCGCAAGAAGCTCGCCGTCGCGCTGGGGCGCGTCATCGGCGACAGGCACCGCATCTTCGTGGACAAGCAGAAGTTCTCCCTCTCGTCCCAATGGAAGGCCTTCCTCCGTCTCACCATCGACGGCCCCAACTCCACCCCGGCTGTGTCCTGGTCGCCGTCCGCGCTCTCGGCAATCGGGCTGGCTGCGGCGTGAGGACCTCGAATCGACGGTGGAGGCGGCTCTGGCTCCTGGTGATGATAATTGGTGTCTTTAGCACGTTCGTCAAGCTCTTCGCCGCCCCGCAGAGCAAGGGGCTCACCTTCGCCACTTGGAATGCCAGAGCATTCTGCTATTACAAGGCGAGCGTGGCGGCACGCAAGAGCGACTATCTTGGGAATGCACTCCGAGCTGGGGCTATCGCTGGTATGCAGGAGGTCCACGGGTCGGCCGTGCGCCTGCGTATGCTGATAGATCGCTTGGGGACGGACTACCAGATGTTCTACTCCCTCGGTGACAATGCTGATGAGTCTCTCGGCAGCGTCGCCACTATCTTCCCCTACAAGGTGCGCGCGGGCATGGACCCGCGCAAGACGTTCTGCATCAAGGCGCGGGTGATTCGTGTCACGGCCACGATCACGGACGGGCCCCACTCTGGCTACACGCTGAAGCACTGGAACATCCATGACCACGCCCTCTCGCGAGAGCAGGTACGACGGGTCGCTGGCGCGATCCAGGCCGATCTGCGTGACATGGAGATTTATCCAAGGATGTGCTGTGTTGTGGTTGTGGGCGACTTCAACTACGGCGAGAATGCGGAGGTGGAGGGCCCCCTGGTTCCTGGTGGCGGACGCAGGGCTGCCTCTCACCCCCGCGGGCGCGCATGGGCGCATGCGCTGAGTGCTGCGACGGAGATGATACCTCGCAAACCGACGCACTGGCACCCTGGCAGGCAGATCGCCACCACGATTGACAAGATATGGGTTGGTTCCCCACGCTGGTTGCTCACGCAGACTTTTCAACATGGGCAGGTGCGTGGAGAGCCTCACGAGATGCACCTCGACGGAGCCTCGGACCACGCGATGT